TCCTGATTGCGCCTCGCACTCAGTGCCGAGAAGGGTGTGCAAGGAGGCCCCGCACAATAGATGTCCTGGCAGCGGCATCAGCTTCAAACTATTAGATACATACATGATATGTGTACTTGTCCCTGCCCCTGGCATGCTTAGTATGTTGTATGACCCTGTCTCTGTTTGGATTCCTCTCTGTCGGCCAAGTCAAAATCTTCTGTGATATCACATCGTCGTCCATGGACGAGGCAGTGGCTATTCGGAGCGCTGTCAGCAAACAGGTGTTTACCTGGGCGAGGTACGGCTGACTCTGCTGACTATCGACTGCCAACTCATGCTTGACAACACATATTCGGAAGGTTGGTGTGGGGACCTTTACCGATCAGCTGCTCTGGGGGCGGCTCAGCAACATACGCCGGCATGTGCGGTTCTTCTCGGAGGCCTTGATCTCCTCAAACTCCGTGCCCAGCTGATTGCAGAGATCTGACCTAGGGCAGGGATCAATCGCTGCAGGCCACGGGACACATGGCTACCTGACCCAACCTGTGCATGCTGCAATCCTGTGACATCCTATGTGCACCCTGACCCTGGCAGCCTATCTAAGTCCTAACCCTAACCCGAATGGAATGGTCTGATCGAACTGTCTGCGACTGAGGAATAGACATGCAGTAGTTGAGCGTCCCAGCTCCGGAGCAATCAGATGAAATGATATACCTGGGCGAAAAAAGCACAAATGAAGATGTTGAAGTGTTTCCGCCGTGATGTGATCCACCAAGGCTGCATGAGTGCTGCAGTACTACATGACTCAACAGAATGCCTGCTGAGTATCTTTTGGCGACCATTCGGAGGCGTGAGTCTCTGCGCCAGCCCAGACTCTTTGACATACAATTCTGCTGCATCAATCATTGAAGGCACTTGCACGACTTCCACCGAATCGTCCGAAGCATACATCTTATCCTCTGAATCTTCCTGGGAAATCCGGGATGTCAACACAGAGTACGCCGCCGAGGCTGTCGACGATGCTTCCGATAACGATTCCTGCACGGGCTCGGTCGGAACAGGATCTTTAGCACTACGGCCTACTATAACGGTGGGATAATGATACAAAACTACATTTCCGACACAGGCGACTCAGGCGATGCAGGCTACAAGCCCTACCACATGCCAGACTCATTGCTCATGACGTGGAGTTGAAATCCGGGTCCTCATCTGGCTGGTCATCGGCATCCGTGCTGCGCTGCTCCTCCAAGAAAAGTCTACCGGGATTTTGTGAAGGGGCCGGCTGCACGAATCACTGACGGCGATAACGGTTATGAAATTCCACGGGCCAACGATTGTGTAACACATTTCATGGACTCATGGATATTGTTCGGTATCTCGGTATCTACGATTTTCGTCCTGCAGCCGCTGAGATGCCAGCAGAACATCGAAAAGTGCCATGGCTGAGTCGTCGCATGCGATGATGGCACTTTGTACGCAAAAGTTTCGAAATTAATACAATGTCACTGTGTCACTGTCACAATGGGTTCATGACTGTCGTGAGTGCTGCCTGCACCTCCAGTCGCCCATGCTGTGGCCCATGCCATGCTCCAGGGCTGCGTGAGATCATAGCACGAAGCACGTCTGCATCGAGCAAGACAAAGAAGCAGAACAGTACGACAACAAGAGATGAAGGAGTCAATCGTTCCTGAGAATCTTATAATAGTTCTTGAGATTGGTGAGATGGTTCCTAAGAGAATAATATTCCAAACACAAACCCTAAAATAAACAAACCACCTGCTAGTCCAAACTATGCCTGAAGACTAGATGGGCTTGCGCAGGTCGGGATCCGGGCTCATCTCCAGGCATCACGCTGAGCAGAGACGACTGGAATGGTGTGAAACTTCTCAGCCAAACAATGTCAAGCTACCAAACATGTCCAGTGGTGGTCCTAGGTGTTTTTTCGCTCTCTGGAATCCGAACCAATTCTGGTGAAGAAACGCTGGGTGCTTGCGCTCCAGAGCGCAGGCACGGCTCCAGGCTGCTCCGAACCGGCTGCGCTCTCCGAAAGCTAGGCCTCAGAGAGCAGAGTCCACTTCTATCCGATGCCCCTTTTCCTCATCATGCTATCATTCTTACTCTTGTACTTGCGGAAGCAGCGTCCACACCTTGTGTCTCTGAGATCTGCCCAATAGAAGGACAAACCCCGCACTCCGGAATCCAGAAGCAGAACAAATCCGCGAATGCTTCAAAGTATTGCAGCCGGAAGCTGAACGTGTTCACGTGCCCAACCCACAAACCGTGAACTCTCACAGGCTGAAGCTAAAACAGTCCCCCACGCGAAGAGAAAATCCCGACTGGCCTCAGATCGGTCTCAATTGGATTCCAAGCCTTAGTGGGTGAAACGCTTTGCCACCTTCTCTTTTAGGTTGTCTGGACCTCGATGAATCTGACGGGTGTGGACCGCGTCTATGGTCCACCTGTTAAACAATTATCGCAGGTGCGTCACCGGCGAGAATCGAAAGCCTCGTTAGAAATGGTTTGGCCTTGTGCTCAGTCTGGGCATCTCTAGGCCTGCGGCGTGTTGGCGCCGATCTCCGCCAGTTGGCAGGTTTCACACCTTGATGCGGGGCGGATTGATCGAAAAAAACATGCAGTGCTCCAGAATCAATTTCTGAGATCCAAGGCAAATCAAAAAGGAATAAAAATTCATAATCTATCTCTTCGAGGGTATGATTGTACTCAAGATTACCTATTTTCGGATCAAAACCTAATCAAGCAAGGATCAAACAAACATGCAGGGATCAGTTTTTCTGCTGTCCAACCAGTGTCACAGCACTGGGGGTCGTTTATGTTTGGGAGATCTTGGTGAACAAGGTTGACACGGTGCCAGGGCAGGGTGGTTGGGGTCGCAGTACTAATGTAAAGAAATGTCTGTTTGTACGTCTGTGTGTATGTAACTGCATGTACGATTATGCATGCATGCGTATATGATATACGTTCCTTCCCTCCTTTCTTCGTTCTTCCTTCCTCCCTTCCTTCCTTCCTATCTGCTGTCTTTCCTCTCTTTGAGTGAGAGAGAGAGAGAGAGAGAGAGAGAGAGAGAGAGACCAGGTTGTGAGTGTTCACAGGCTGCAGATGCTGTAATTTGCAGCCGTTCAGAGTTCTGATGTTTGTTGATCTCTGTTTGATTTTCTTGTTGATCCCTACTTGAATGTTTGTTGATCCCTATTCGATGTTTGTTGATGCCTATCCCTTGATGCAGCGGCTGCTGCAGCAGCACGCTGGTTTGTGGCTGGAGCTTGCGGATCAGAGGTAGACCAGACGTATTTTGGCGGCGGCTCCTGCCAGGGACGCTCCGCAGCTCAAGATCTCTGAGGCTGCTGCAGCTTGCCCTTCCAGGAGATATCGTATGTGGACCCACAATACGGGCACCTGGAGGCTTCAAAGCACATGGCATGGGTGAGTGAAGGACTTGCCACCCTAGACTCTAGACTTATGGACTCTGCAGTTTCAGTGTAGGTTGGCAGGGACCGGCACAGCTTCAGCAACCCATGGCAGTGACGTCTGTTCGAGGGTCCATCATAAAGGGTAACTGCATTGCGGCTTGGCGAAGCCATTCGGCTGCTACAAGTCCCGAGGTGATGAAACGCAAAACCGCAAAACGGTACGCATCGAGGCGAGCACGACACGGACTTGTCATTGGCGCCGATGGCGGTGAAGGATCCGCTACAGAGCCTGACCTCCTCCGCACTTGCCTGCACACAAAAAAAGACCATATTTTGCGGCGGTGCACATCCAAAAAGATGGGGACTTCCGGACAGAAGCGAAGCCTTCGGGTCAAAGTTGATCTGGTGCTTGTCTGTTGCCTGCAAACAAAAAATCTAATGACTCGCCGGAAGATCATTCCATGAGGCTTGGCTATGCCGAGCGACAGGGGTGCAGTTTTCCGCTCCGGCAAGCCGCAGCTCTGTTGGCATTAGACCTATGTACGGATACACAAGGAAATCGATAGCTGGCGTGGCCAGCGCTACTGTTCTTCTAAAAGTCGTGCACTCGTCCGGGTTTGCTCATCCGGCGCGACAATCCGGCTATCAGCAGACTTCTATGAATTTGTGCCGTTTGGCAGCAACTCGCGTGCTGCCCATGGCCAGCAAATCTGTATGGAAACATTAAGCGCGCCCCTCGGAGGGGACCCTAGTCAACAAGAGCTGCCAGCTAGTGTCGAAGCCATCGCGATGGCTCAGGCTTCGTACTGCTCAAGCTCGAGAATCGCATTTGCCCAGTGAAAGTACTTCCGAGTACCTCACGACATGACAGCGAGCGAGCATGTTACAACTCGCGGACTACATCGGACTTGATGCCATGCTCCTGGCTTACGATCTAGATGCACCTCTCGAGTAAAAGGCACAGTCCCACGATGCCCCACCTAAGTGCTTGATTGTGCGGATATTGATGCTCGCCAGCACTTCCACACCTACCAGGACGGGACTGCAGGCACAGCGAGTAGTTTGAAAAGAACACAGCAGCTTGAGATAAGCTGATGTGTGCCATTGGCCCAAGCCCCGGTGTTTTCTACAAGTACTATGGTACATAATGCTTGCTTTGGCTGCCCCTGCGAAGGAATGTTGAAGTGGATCTTTCAGCATGGTGGGGAAAATGCCTCTGTGCACATAGCGTACTCCTGCATCAAACAGCCCGGGCCTTCTGGTGGCAGGATGCTCAGTGCCGACACCGGCAAATCAAGCACCTGCAGCCAGATCTTTCACCAGAGGACAAGAACTAGAGCTGGCGAAGAAGTGCTTGCTAAACCCACTTGGAAGCCATTCTGAACAGGACACCTTCGGGCGAGAAGATTTTGAAGGCAGGTGTACTAAACTTACAATGATGCAATGGCCTGTTTCAGCGGTGCCGTCTCGTACTCCGCATCCAGCATATTGCCTCGGTTGCATGACGTTGGACTGATGAGAGGGACGACTAGAAATTGTAAACAAGGGGATACAAGGGGTGAATGCACCTGGACAAACCAACCTGCTGGAGATTCAAATTTCAGACAGTGTTCTGCCATGAAGGCGACGGCACGACATGACGGCACCCGGTGGAGGCAAAAGCCTGTGCAGTTGATGCCAAGTTGCTTCGCGCAATCTATGCTAGAAGCTAATTGGCAAACGCCGAGGAGCGGATATTCATCTTGGCAGAAGGGCCGCTCGCGTCTTTGTCGTCCTCGTCGGTATTTTCTGTTGGCCTCCGGTTGCCCATCACTCGACCAGGCAGTGGCTTTCTTCGATTCGCACGCAAGTTCAAGCGAGTAGCGCCATTGTCACGATGGCCCGGGCCAGCAAGAAGACTCGCCATCCTCTGGAGCTCAGATCTGCGTCAAGGGGTCCCTGAAACAACGCAGCACTGGGCTGGTAACCCTGAACCCCCACCCCTCACTCCTTCAAAGCGTAAGCACGACCTCCAAGACTTGGAATCCCAGACACCCAAAGCTTGAAACGCCGGCACGTGGAGTACAAATCGCACCGCGCCAGATCTGTTCACCCCACCCGACTGCCTCTTCAGTCAATCAAGAATAGCGGGGACCGTTGGGAGGGTTTCGACACTGCGACCGGCCACACCCTAATGAACCAGCACCGCCAAGCAACACTGTGAACCAGCTGCCTTCTATATAGATCAAGGGCGAGATTGGTTGCTGAAATGAGTTGTTATTGCTGATAAACTGGGGAAACAAACAGCTGCTACACCATGGTCGTTGAAGCATTGCATGTGTTGAATCGGGGAAAACTCGGTGTGGCAACAAGCCCCAAGCTTGCACTTCGGACTGAAAGATACACTAGCTCAATACCAAAAGGTCACATGAGTCCTGCCAGCTCGCGGACTGTTTTGATGCCCAACTTCTCCAGGGTAGCCTCGCCATTCTCACCGGAGAGGCCTGCCAGAAATTCTCCATCGATAAACCATCAGAAGTTGAGCATAGAGTGAGCTCAGGCAATACGCCATTCCAACAGGTTGGGATAACACTCTTAAATCGAGCTTCTGGTACTGCATGGATAAGCTCCCATCATGGCAGACACATCGCTTGCGGCCTGTCAAACGCGACGTCCTTACAGGCTAAGGCAGGCCGACAACGTGGAAAGATACAGTGTAATTTTGTTGTAGCAGTCTTTTCGTGCCTCGAATGGCATGCACCGGAGAATCAAGGATCTCCTTGATGCTTTTGCCTCTGAAATCCTGCACTGTGCAGCCCAGCAGAAGTTCCGGCGTCCAAGCAATTGGGCGGCGGTCTGTTCGACGTCGTTTCATAGTTCTGCGCCCAAGACGACGGGAAACCCCAAAGCCCTTCAGTCCACCTCGTTCTACCTGCGGAGCCCAAGAGTCGGCTCCGTTTCATGACACCGGTTTCCTTGATCACCGCCAGGTTCATGTTCATCTTGTAGGGATCATCTGTCCACCCCTGCACATGTCCTCGGTAGAGCATGTTACTTGAGGCATCTTCTCGGGGCTTGAGAGAGAGTGATCAGAGAGTGGAGTGGGCGAAAATGATCGAGCATGAGAGCAAGTAGGTCAACAAAGAGATAAACAAGTTTGCACATGGTGCAGGTCCCACGCGGCTTTGCAAAGACAAGGCTAGGACGTAGGAGCAACTGTGTCCGTCAAGCTGCGCACATAATGCGCTGCGAGCTGCTCCTCGGACAGCTTGCTCAGCCATTTCCTGGGTGGCACTAGCAACTTCAACAGCGCCCCGGTCGTCACCTGGAAATTGTCATTGGTTTGGCAGTTCTCTTATGAAGACCTGCGCGACACGATAGCCTGCCTAATTCCTTGACAAACCATTCACCGAGAGTCTTGAAGACCGCTTTGTCTAAGCCTTTCGCAGGATCGATGCCTGCCCAAGCAAGTCATTCAACCTCAAGCATTGGCACTCCATTGCACTGCGTAGCTTTCTCACTGGGCCTTGCGATGAACAGAATTTCTCAAAGCCTGATCGGACCTGCAACGTGAGCATCGACAAAGACAGGCAGGAGTGCCCTAAGTCTACTCTGAGAATCTGATGCAGCGAAGCGAGCTTCAAATGCACGCACAACCTGTGTGAAAAGCATTGACCACATTTCTCGCACCTGCGGCTCCAGAACATCATGCTTCTGGGAGCTCTTCATGTAGAAAGGCAGTATCTCCTGTCTCTGAAATCGTCTATTCCCTTTCACTAACCCCGGAGAGGAGGTAAGGATCAAGGTCCTCCAGCGTCAAGGTGCCAGAGCCATCGTAGTCCCAGGCTTCAAAGAGACCATCCAGCAGCTCCTTCCGACGCTTACCCATCCAAACTCCCAAAAGATCAAGATCCAGCAGCATTCAACAATATTCAACAGCATCGCCCAATGTCCGAACAGCCACTAGCAGTGCGGAACAACGCCCCCGGTCCCCACTGCGCCTCTCGGCCCTTTTCCTCCGCGACTGCCTTGCGCTGCTCCTCGAAGGTCTTCTTCTGGGCGCGGAGCGCGAAGCGAGGAGGTTCCAAGGCTTCGGCCGGAGAGTCAAGGAACGAGTCTTGTTTGGTGGCCTCGAGCTGTTGACATTTTTGTGAGAAATAATGTGTTGCTGGTTGTAAGCGCAAGGTGGGTGACAAGCCCGAAACTCCAAAGGAGGTGGCCCTGGTTGGTTCAACACCCGGAGCAAAGATGTTGGAAAGCTTCAAAAGGAGATGATGCGTGGCAACTCCCAAACAGGGTATTTCCAAGAAGTTAGGCAGGTGACAAATCTTCAATACTAGGTATGATTGGTTCCCCAAAAACCCCAAACCCCAGCAATAACAATTCATGAAAAAACCAAGTGCTCCGGACGACGGGCACTCCAAGAGCCACAACGAAGCCTTGCTACAGTATGTTGGATCTTTTAAACCCAAAACTCCTACAGGAGATGATGAGCACGAAGGCATGTCCTCAAAGGCCAAAGTCCGGTAGGCTGGATGGCAAACCCAAGGCACGAACAGGATGATATATGGCAAACCCTAAGCCTAAACCTAAACCCGGAAAGGATGTGTGGCTCACCCTCAGCCCTCGAAGCTGTCCTCTACCAAGAAAAAGCTCCAATAGGGGATATGGGTCCCTAAACTCTAATCTCGAAAGAGTACGAACTCCAAAACCCCTCGCCCCTCCAAAAAGAAATGCGACCCAGGTGTCCCAAACCTTGCGCTGAATCTCAACAGGATAATAAACTGGGTCGCAAATCTTTAGCCCAAGATGATAGAGCAAGCAATGAACCCTGAAAGGGGTTACAGTTCCAAGCCTTCCGGTTCTGATAAGGGGTGGTGGTGGGAACCCGCACACAGACTTGCTCAAAAGTAGAAATGCACCATGGACGTATACACAGATGCAGATACCCAAACATACGTTCTAACCCATGTAATGTCGAACATATACATTGAGATACCGTTACACCCATGCAATGTTGACCATGCAAGTATAGGCACAGGTACAGATGCATACTCATGCATTTTCCATACACATATGTCTATACATGTACACATAGGTTGTGTATGCATGTATGGAGCAGCTCGCAAGCAGCATGGTTTACACGAAAATTTCTACACTATGATCTTGAGATGTCTGCTAAGCTTGTCAGTGATAGATGTAAATCATGGTGTGCATCTGCCTTGGTGTTGTTTGTCCTTGTTGCGGGTCTGCATGGGGTTCGTAGCGCCAAAGCGGTAATCGCCCGCCGCGCGCAGATCACACTCGCGCAGCGTTCAATTTGAAAAACTGTTAAGGCCTTCAATAGTAACAGTAGTAGTGATAATAATGATAATAATAATAACAATAACAATAATAGTTACTATTATAATAACAATAACAATATCATAATAGTAATAGTATTAATAATTATAACATTTTCGACATCGTTTGACTCTTCATATGCCCAGTACGAAGGTCGGGCTCCGGCTCTGGTAGCCGGGGCCCGGCCTCTTAGAGCACTAAACGTGTGCAACAGGAATACGTCCTCCTGCTCCTAGCAGCTCGTAGGGGTTATTTGACACGTGTTTCTTTAGGCGTGTAATGCGCCTTTCTCGATATGCATCATATTTACTTTGAGCACACAAACATGGAAATCTGTCGCTAAAACCATGCAACATCAAATACATGCCACAAGTGTGATGTTCTGAACCTATGGTGCTGCGCTGGTCAGAAGTGCTGAGTCAAAAGGTGGCTGGGTCTCCGTTACAGCAAAAAAGAGGCTTTGACATTGTTGTCTGCATACTTTCTTGTCTGTCACCTCTGCGAGATCGACGCTTACGGCGTACAGCGTCGCGTTGGCTGCAAAGCCACACACCAGCCTGAAACCCTGAAGCTTCCTAAACCCCAAACAAGCATGGAGTCAAAAACAAAACATGAGAAAGCAACAGAACAGTGCGTGGGATTCGGGAACCGCTATCTGAATTCTGCCGCTTGGCCACTTGGGCCACTTGAACATCCCCAAATACCGGGATCGTGGGTTACCCCACTTGCCCCGCTTGAATTCGCCGTTCTACCCCAATTGCCCCACATGTGCCGCTTGCAGTGTGTGAGGCCTTCAGTAGTGCAAGTAGCAGAATTAGTAGAACAGTGTTACTACTAGCAACAATACCCTAAACCCTAAAACCCGAAATCTGAAACCCTAGACAGTAACCCTAAACCCCAGAACACAGAGCCTGATCGCTAAAACTCTAAGGCCTGAACCCTGAATGTTAAACTGACCCTAAACCCTAAAAGCCCCAAACACTGTTTAGGGCCTAAACCCGAAAACCCCAAACCGTGGCACAAGTGGCACCCACCCCTCAAGCGGCAGGAGTGGCGCCCACCCCTGAACAATCGTAGCGATGTGCACGCTTCAAGTGGCAAGTGGCGCGTGCTACTTGAATATAGCCATATGCAGAATGCAAGTGGTCAAGTGGCCCAAGCGGCAGGAGGGCAATGAAACAATAGCCCACACATAAACCCGCAACGATGACCCATTGCTGGAAAACTCTGACATCCCCAACTCCCAATCCTCCTCGCTTCAAAAGAAGCTGCCTCAACCTTGGCCTTCTTTGCCGCCGGCTCTGCCATCTGAGACCTCGGTTGCTCTCGTTCTTCGACGGCCCAGCTTTGGGTGTTGCTTGGGGCTTAGGGACGTAGGGCGCGGGTGCATGTTCTGAACTCTTTCCATGCTTCCTTTGTGTGATGCGCACTGAACACTTTGCCAAAGGGATGGTATCCTTCAAGTCCATCTATCTTAATAGGGAGGAAGGGAGGCAGGGAGGGTGGAGAGGGAGGAGGGAGGGGAAGGGGAGCTAGAAGATGGGGACAGAGTGTGGCCCTTGAACAACTCCACGAAGGGAAGGGTGCTCCTCGTCGCGCCAATGCCCTTAAAGGGGCCACGCGTGACGGATCAAAATAGAATAAACAAGCAACAGGATCAAAGACGGTGGCCATGAAAACAAAACCGAGTAGAAGTCATTGTCGTAGTCATAGTCATAGTCGTAGTCGCAGCAGCACTGATGGGACAAGCGATACTGAGAGTCATGTCAGTCGTAACGCTACTGCTCAAAGTCAAAGCCAGGCCATAGTCTGAGCCGTAACAATTGCAATAATATGCAATAATAGTAGTAGCACGAGTGCTAGTACTACGGTTGATGGTATAAATCCTGCATCACCCATAATATTGAACATACCATAATTCCCAGAGTTTAGGGTCCTGAAGGTCATGCAGGATTTATACCATCAACAGTAGTACTAGTACTAGCACTAGCACTAGCACTAGCACTGGTGGTGGTGGTGGTGGTGGTGGTCGTGGCGGTCGTGATGGTCGTGGTGGTCGTGGTAGTCGTGGTGGTCGTGGTGGTCGTGGTGGTCGTGGTGATCGTGGTGGTCGGGGTGGTGAGCAGGGGTCGCCGCCGTCGCCGCCGCTGGTGTCGTCGTAGTAGTTGTAGTGGTGTAGTAATCACAGTGGCAGTCACACTCTCAGTAGCCGGAGCAGCAGCAGTAGCAGCAGCAGGCAGCTGCAGCAGTAGTAGCAGTAGCAGCAGCAGTAGTAGCAGTAACAGTAGCAGTAGGAATAGGA